AATTTATATTTATAAATTCTGTATAATGCATCGTGGCGGAAATATGGCCAGGCGATAGTGCGCTTGGCGCTTGCAGCCAGGGAATCTATCGACGCATTAGCACGCTGGTATGTGTGCGTATTCTATTAGAGAAGCATGGATTTTTGGTTCATTAAAAAAAAAATTGGGTAGTTTCTTATTGGCAGCACGGGCCATTACGTGAATTATCTCACATGTACACAATTCCACATGCGTCTGTGTGTTTATATATATAAAGACAAAGACGCCCCGTATAGCCTTAACAGATTGGTGGGGCAAGTGCTTTTAGCGGGGCATCTATGAAGGCCGGCACGGTACACGAGGGGGTGGGTGGCCAGCATCCCAGCACGGCCGCCTTTGTCTCCCGGTACTCATTTGAGGCCAAGTCGACCTAGGGGAGACCCACAACCGGTTTAGATAATTGTCACTGGTGGTGGTGGTGGTCGCGATGAGAAGGAATGGAACTGAGGTCGCCTCGTTCGTTGCGTAGCGCAATGCTAACCACGATGCCACCGCTCCCCACACAAAGACAAAGATCCCCCGTGTAGCCTTAACAGACTGTAGGGGCAAGTGCCGTTAGCGAGTTGCACCTATGAAGGCCGGCACGGCACACGAGGGGGTGGGGTGACCAGCACCACGCCCGGCCGCCTTTGTCTCCCCCAGTGGCGATGTTTACACAGCGCAAGAGGTTACTTAGTTTGGGCTGAGTCGACCTAGGAGAGACTCAGGATCTATTCAGAGAGTCGTCACTGGTGTTGGCCGTGAGCGGGAATGGAACTCGGTTCGTCTGGCTCGTAGCGCTAACCGTTGCACTAAGGGACCGTCCATAAATGACGTCACGCGATTTTGGACGATTTTTGCCCCCCCCCCCCCCCCCCCCCCTTCGTCACACAAAAAGTCAGACCCCCCCCCGTCAAATATGACGTCACAAAGCTCTGCCCCCCCCCCCCCACAAAAAAAAACATGCTTCAAATCGCTTTAAACTATTGTCATCGTAGTGCGTGTTTAATGTGGCGCTGCACTCTGATGTTGTAGGAGAAAACATTTTTTAACAAGTCTATTTAATTAAGTAGAACGTGTTGTCTATATTTATTTAAAGTTGCAGCATTTTTACGTGACGTCACATTTCTCAAACCCCCCCTCCTCGTCACACATCGTCACAAATGTCTGACCCCCTCCCCCCCCCAGGTGCGTGACGTCATTTATGGACGGCCCCTACCGTTCCCCATACAGACAGACACACGTGCACACAGACAGACACACACACACAAAGATCTCCCATATAGCCTTAACAGACTGTAGGGGCAAGTGCTGTTAGCGAGCACCTATGAAGGCCGGAACGGTACACGAGGGGGTGGGTGGCCAGCACCACGCCCGACCGCCTTTGTCTCCCCAGTGGCGATGTTTACACACTGAACCAGGTACTCATTTAAGGCTGAGTCGACCTAGGGGAGGCCCAGGACCGGTTCAGATAATCGTCACTGGTGTTAGCCGTGAGCGGGAATCGAACGTGGGTCGCCAGGTTCATAGCGCAGCGCGCTAACCGCTACACTACCGCTCCCCACACACGCACAGACAGACACACACGCACACACAGAGAGACGCGTGCACACCTCACAGACACTTTGTCGTAATCTTCATCTATCACTCGATGCCTGTGCCCGTGTGTTCATTCGCACGCTTTGCAATGCACGCGCGTTTTGCCGACAACAACAACAACAACAGCGGTCGTGTAAACATTTCTGTTCATGTTGACGTAAAGCTTTGCGTGACTGTAGGAATTTATGTTCTTTGGGTCGTTCGGTTAAAGTCGCTTAGATAGTGTCAAATAAATAAAATAAAAAAAATAAAACTATGACGTTTCAATCGAAACGTCGTAGTTTTTGTTATTTTTGTTATTTTATTTGAACATATCTAAGTGACTTTCACCGAAAGACCCAAAGAATATATAATCTTAAGTAATCTTAAGTTACGGGAAAAGCCTGTAGTACAAATAGGTGAGTTTTAAGACGGCGATTTGAAAAGTGAAACACTCAGAATCCCGAATGGAGCGAGGAAGGGGACTCCACTATCGCGGAGTCTGGCTGCAGGAGGCTCCGTCTCTAATAAAACAACAACACCACCACCAACACCACCACCAACACCACCACCAACACCACCACAACCACCACCACAACCACCACCACAACCACCACAACCACAGCCACCACCACCATCACAACCACCACCACAACCACAACCACCACCACCACAACTACCACCACAACCACCACCACCACAACCACCACCACAACCACCACCACCACAACCACCACCACAGCCACCACCACAACCACAACCACCACCACCACAACCACCACAACCACCACCACAACCACCACCACAACCACCACCACAACCACCACCACAACCACCACCACCACAACCACCAGCACCACCACAACCACCACAACCACCACCACAACCACCACCACAACCACCACCACAACCACCACCACAACCACCACCACAACCACCACCACCACAACCACAGTGTCGTTGTCTTTGGAATGATGACTGGACCAGAATTAGCTGATCTAAGTGTTTCGCAGTGGTCTATAAAACTTGACCAGATCGATGGGGAGATATTTCGGAGCCAGCCCATTCAATGTATACGTGAGAAGCGGGATCTTGAGGTCGATTCTGTACTTTACAGGCAGCCAGAGCAGCGATGAAAGAATGGAAGTAAGATGGTCAAACCATTTAGATTTGGTTAAAACCTGGGCTGCCGAGTTTTTTAAATACATATTGTAATGTATTTTACTGGTAGGAACCTCCTGGTTACACCAGCCCACAGGGAATTATTGTGTCCGTCGTGCAGGGAGGGGCTGGGTGAGGAGGGAGGGGCTGGGTGGGGTTGGGTGGGGGGTGGGAGGGGTGGGGCTGGGTGGGGAGGGGCTGGGTGGGAAGAATGGGGCTGGGTGGGGGGTGGGAGGGGTGGGGCTGAGTGGGGAGGGGCTGGGTGGGGAGGGTGGGGAGGGGCTGGGTGGGGAGGGGCTGGGTGGGGAGGGTGGGGTTGGGTGGGGGGTGGGAGGGGTGGGGCTGGGTGGGGAGGGGCTGGGTGGGAAGAATGGGGCTGGGTGGGGGGTGGGAGGGGTGGGGCTGGGTGGGGAGGGGCTGGGTGGGGAGGGTGGGGAGGGGCTGGGTGGGGAGGGGCTGGGTTGGGAGGGGTTGGGTGGGGAGGGTGGGGCTGGGTGGGGGGTGGAAAGGAGAGGTGGGGCTGGGTGGGGAGGGGCTGGTCACCCCGTGGTGCCCTTATAAAACTCAACGTTTAACCTACTCACGCCGGCTTGTGCCCGCCCTCACAGTCGGGCATATTTGCGAAATACACCACGCCGCCGTTGACCCTGGCCATTGACCGAGCAACCCAACGTTCCTACCAGCTCCCTCCGCAGGAATGTGTTAAAACACTTTTAAAAACGCCAGCAAAGCGAGGCATTAGAGGTATCGAAATGAAGGCCTCTCGTCATTAGGAAGAGAGACAGCGTCAGTCTCAGGTCGAGCCGTTACATAAAATGAAATAACGAGATGTTGGTGACATTACGCACGCAGGCTTCAAAAGTCAAACCGAGGTCGTCGGCACCACCCAGCATTCTGACCTCAGACTTCCTTACCGACCCCTCTTCGCTCCCTGTGGAGCACTAGGCCGCAACAAGCCCACGCGATGCCGGACGGTCTTTAGCAGCTTTCTCTACGAGACTTCTGACCAAATGACAGTCTCACGTGTGGCCATTCGAAAAGCATCCAATTGATGCCCCTTGATGTGGAGAGCCAAACAACATCATCTCTGTCTTGTCGCAACTGTACTTCAGAAAGTTGAGGCGCATCCACGATTTGACCTTAACAAGATGACGTTGACTTCTCCCAACTTGTAAGCAAACACCGTCAATATAATGGGATGGCTGACGCACAGGCGAACCGCCCTTAACAGACAATGACAGAGCACCCTGCAGTGACGCGAGAGTGAGGCCTACTGAAGGAGATGCCGATATCATTTCTTCCGAGGGCCGTTCCTTGCCTGTGATGGAATTCTCCACGGCCTACTTGCTGTACCTGCCACCTAGCAAGCGAGGCCCACATCTCGGGCTTGAGCCCAGGTGCAGTACGCGTCGGTTTTAGATCAAGAGTCTCCGACACGGCCATTATGAACTGGGTGAGATCTACACCGAGGCTGAGGATCTAGGAGTTGACCACAGGTAAGAAGCTGTGCTGGCTTTGAGCGTATCCAACCTGGCCATTATGAACTGGGTGAGATCTAGACCGAGGCTGAGGATCTAGGAGTTGACCACAGGTAAGAAGCTGTGCTGGCTTTGAGCGTATCCAACCTGGCCATTATGAACTGGGTGAGATCTAGACCGAGGCTGAGGATCTAGGAGTTGACCACAGGTAAGAAACTGTACTGGATTTGAGCGTATCCGACATGGCCATTATGAACTGGGTGAGATCTAGACTGAGGCTGAGGATCTAGGAGTTGACCACAGTAGCTGTGCTGGCTTTGAGCCAGAGGTCGCAAACGGGTTTTGATTCCTTACCCGTACCCGGCCGCACCAGGGTCGCAAACGGATACCCGTACCCTACCCGATACCCGGCTACCCGTACCCAGCCGGGTATGGGTAGGGTACGGGTACGGGTATCCGATTGCGACCTCTGGGATGAAGCCATGTTGCAGGCGCGGGTGGGTTGATTCTAGGAACTTGAATTGTGAGAAGAGACAAGACGTTGGGAAATGAGTGACAAACGGTTACTCACCAGTGACTGACGGCCTACCCGTACCCGTACTCGGCCGCACCAGGGTCTCAAACGGGTACCCGTACCCGTACCCGTGCCAAGCCGGGTACGGATAGCCGGGTATCGGGTAGGGTACGGGTATCGGGTACCCGATTGCGACCTCTGCTTTGAGCGTATCCGACCTGGCCATTATGAACCCCGCCCTGTCCGGCTACCTTGCCGCGCTTGATGCTGTCCTCGGAGCGGTCTGGAGAGCTCTCGCTGGAGGAAATCTTCACCTTCTCCTTGCTCTCCTTCGAGTCGTTGTCCTTGATGATGTCATACTGGCGGCAGAAGTGGGCGATGACAGCTGGGGGAGGTGGGGGGGGGCAGAGGGGGGGGACAGTGGTGATGATTGTGGTGGTGGTGGTGGTGGTGATAGTGTGGAGAGCGGAAGTGCAACGGTTAACGACCCGAGTTTGATTCCCGCTCACGGCCAACATCGGTGACAGTTATCTGAGCGAGTTCTGGGCCTCCCCTAGGTCGAGTCAGCCTCAAATGAGTACCTCGTGTGGCGTGTAAACATCGCCACTAGGGAGACAAAGGCGTCCGGGCGTGGTGTTGGCTACCCACCCCCTCGTGTGCCGTGTCAGCCTTCTTAGGTGCTCGCTATACTGGGGGGGGTCTTTGTATTTAGTGATGATAGCGTTGGTAAATCTGGCCTGACTAGCACCGCCAGGTGAGTGTGGCCATTCACTTGGCAGCACGGCCACTCATCTGGCTAACCATCCACTCACCTGGCGAACCATCCACTCACCTGGCGAATCATCCACTCACCTGGCGAACCATCCACTCACCTGGCAAACCATCCACTCACCTGGCGAACCATCCACTCACCTGGCGGTCCACCCACTCACCTGGCGGTCCACCCACTCACCTGGCGGTCCAGCCACTCACCTGGCGGTCCACCCACTCACCTGGCGGTCCAGCCACTCACCTGGCGGTCCACCCACTCACCTGGCGGTCCAGCCACTCACCTGGTGAACTAGCCACTCACCTGGCCAACCACCCACTCATCTGGAGAACCAGCCACTCACCTGGCGGTCCACCCACTCACCTGGCGGTCCAGCCACTCACCTGGTGGTCCACCCACTCACCTGGCGAACCATCCATTCACCTGGCGGTCCACCCACTCACCTGGAGAACCATCCACTCACCTGCCCACATGACGAGCACCAGGACGATGATGATCATTTCTCCCGTCATGAGTTCCCGGTTGTCGAGAGCGTTCATCTGGACGTCCGACGCCCCTGGGAGGGAACACGCGGCGACGAAGAAGTAACCGTTGATGCACAGCCTCAGAAGGTCAAAGGTCAGCAACAAACAGCACCATTAAAATTCAGAATAGATTTTTTTCTTTCTATTTATTAACGTGTCTATTTTACCGACATTGCATCCTGGGTAACTCACGATACACCTCGCCAGCTATGTATTGATTACTGAGTCGGCCTAGGGAATGCCCAGACGAAGTTCAGAGAGACACGCAGACACAGGCGTACACACACACACACAAATATTTCTGGATGACTTAACAGAGACACAGACAGGCAGGCACACACAGAGACAGGCGGACAGAAATAAGCAGACACAGACCACAGGCACAGACAGAGACACACAAGAGACACACACAAGAGACACACAAGAGACACACAAGAGACACACAAGAGACACAAATACCATCCCCCGCACTCGTGGAGAGAGAGCATCATGAGCGCTGCTTGCAGAGAACCCCAGCGCTTAGCCAAATTACATGCAGCAGCAGCAGTAGCAACAGTCGCAGCAGCAGCAGCATCACCTTTTTCGTTTCCAATTTGTACCATCATCGGGTACAAAGACGCGAGACGATAGGCCCGTGTTCATCGAGCATGCCCTTGCACCTGGCTCGCAAGTGAGCCGGGCCGGCTCAAAGCCAATGGCGCTTGCATACCGCGAGCCAGGCCCCTCCGTCCCAGCGAGCGGCGACTCCGACACGAGCCACGAGCCGGAGCCGCAGTCTGAGCCAGAGATCGCAAACGGGTTTTGATTCCTTACCCGTACCCGTACCCGGCCGCACCAGGGTCGCAAACGGGTACCCGTACCCTACCCGATACCCGGCTACCCGTACCCGGCCGGGTATCGGGTAGGGTACGGGTATCGGGTACCCGATTGCGACCTCTGGGATGAAGCCATGTTGCAGGCGCGGGTGGGTTGATTCTAGGAACTTGAATTGTGAGAAGAGACAAGACGTTGGGAAATGAGTGACAAACGGTGACTCACCAGTGACTCACGGCCTACCCGTACCCGTACCCGGCCGTACCAGGGTCGCAAACGGGTACCCGTACCCGGCCGGCCGGGTACGGGTAGCCGGGTATCGGGTAGGGTACGGGTACCGATTGTTTTAGCGCTTGCCTCCAATTGATCGGCGACAACCGCCGTTCGCCAGGATGTGGCGGTGACGTTGCCGCCAAGTGGCGGGGGGTGACATCCACCACGGTGGTCGTGCCAGGCTAGGTGCACCTCGAGGCCAGACAAAGTGTCGAAGGCTCTCTGCGGGCAGGAGGTCACGGGACAGATCCGGGTGTTATGGGTTGACCGAATGGGCGAACAAAGGTCCCCCGTATAGCCTTAGCATACTTTCGGGGCAAGTGCTGAGAGCGAGTATCACCTATGAAGGCCGGCAAGGCACACGAGAGGGTGGGTGGCCAGCACCACGCTTGGCCAACTTTGTCTCCCCAGTGACGATGCTTACACACCGCACTGGGCACTAATTTGAGGCCGAGTCGACCTAAGGGACGCCCAGAACCCGTTCAGATAATCGTCACTGGTGTTGGTCGTGAGCGGGAATCAAACCTGGGGCCGCCGGGATTCATAGCGCAGCGTAGCGCTAACCGCTACACCACCGCTCCCCGCACAAAGATCCCCCGTATAGCCTTACCAGTGCCTCCAACTCGCTCCCCACACACACACACACACTCGCATGCATTTCGTTAAGTGTTCTCATTCCATTAACATTGGGAGTGATTAATTTAGCTAGCGCTGCATGTGACGGAAAAGAGCATTGCCCGAGTAAAAAGCAGCTCTTAGTGAATCACTCGGGAGGGGGAGGTGATGTGTGGGACGAGTGGTGTGCAGCCTGCAGGTAGTACTAATGGGTGTCCCTTGGATAATCGGGCATCTGGCAGAAGGAAGGAGGCGATGGCGAGGTGCGTTGGCCATCGACGGAATTGACTGTGACGGAATCTTCATCTTATATGTGACGCTCGTGTTGGGACACTGAAAAAAGAAACTCTGAGATCCCGGGATCTAGCACTGAGGAGTGTCTCAAGATGTTGAGATATTGGAGACTCTGGTCCCTAGATTCAGTCTTAGATCAAGACACCGATCCTGAGACCAGGTCTGAGCTCATGACACTGATCCTAAGACCCGATCTCCGCGCAAGACACTAATCCTGAGATCCGGTCTCAGCTAGAAGACAAATTCGGAAACACAGTCTTAAGATACTGATCCTGAGACCAGGTCTCAGCTCATGACACTGATCCTGAGACCCGATCTCAGCGCAAGACTCTAATCTTGAGATCCGGTCTCAGCTAAAAGACAGATTCGGAAACACAGTCTTAAGATACCGATCCTGAGACCAGGTCTCAGCTGATGACACTGATCCTAAGACCCGATCTCAGTGCAAGACACTAATCCTGAGATCCGGTCTCAGCTCAAGACAAATTCGGAAACACAGTCCTAAGATACCGATTCTGAGACCAGGTCTCAGCTCATGACACTGATCCTGAGACCCGATCTCAGTGCAAGACTCTAATCTTGAGATCCGGTCTCAGCTAAAAGACAGATTCGGAAACACAGTCTTAATATGACGATCCTGAGACCAGGTCTCAGCTGATGACACTGATCCTAAGACCCGATCTCAGCACCGCAAGACACTAATCCTGAGATCCGGTCTCAGCTAAAAGACAGATTCGGAAACACAGTCCTAAGATACCGATCCTGAGACCAGGTCTCAGCTCATGACACTGATCCTAAGACCCGATCTCAGTGCAAGACACTAATCCTGAGATCCGGTCTCAGATAAAAGACAAATTCGGAAACACAGTCCTAAGATACCGATCATGAGACCAGGTCTCAGCTCATGACACTGATCCTGAGACCCGATCTCAGTGCAAGATATTAATCCTTAGATCCGGTCTCAGCTAGAAGACAGATTCGGAAACACAGTCCTAAGATACCGATCCTGAGACCAGGTCTCAGCGCAAAACACTTATCCTGAGATCTGGTCTCAGCTAAAAGACAAATTCGGAAACACAGTCTTAAGATGCCGATCCTAAGACCAGGTCTCAGCTGATGACACTGATCCTGAGACCCGATCTCAGTGCAAGATATTAATCCTTAGATCCGGTCTCAGCTAGAAGACAGATTTGGAAACACAGTCCTAAGATACCGATCCTGAGACCAGGTCTCAGCGCAAAACACTAATTCTGAGATCCGGTCTCAACTAAAAGACAGATTCGGAAACACAGTCTTAAGATGCCGATCCTAAGACCAGGTCTCAGCTGATGACACTGATCCTGAGACCCGATCTCAGTGCAAGATATTAATCCTTAGATCCGGTCTCAGCTAGAAGACAGATTCGGAAACACAGTCCTAAGATACCGATCCTGAGACCAGGTCTCAGCGCAAAACACTAATCCTGAGATCCGGTCTCAGCTAAAAGACAGATTCGGAAACACAGTCTTAAGACGCCGATCCTGATTGATCGAAACCACCGCATCTTCCTTAGCCAAATCACCATTATGACATTTCAAGCGGGGGGGGGGGGGGGGAGGAGGGTGGTTTCCACCCCACGATGATGAATTAGGGCCCGCGTTTGATCGATGGAACACACGACGCCATAAAAGCTGCCACCATAAATTATCACGAGGAAATATTGATGCAAAGCAATAAGCTCAAGTGCAGCGCTGTTTACATATTTACACACACACATTGTATGTTCTGTCACCCTCGTCGCTCCAGCACGGTGCCAATTCGTAGAAGCGGCGTCGACGCTGACCCACATTTACGATTTCACGACATCGCCGTGACTTGCAACAAGAACGCCGTAGACAAACAACAACAATAACCATGGCACAGAGGTCGCAAACGGGTTTTGATTCATCTTCTTGGTTCTTTCGGTAAAGTCACGTAGAAGGGAAGTAATAACATAATAAAAATAAAACATAATAAAATAATTCTCACGACGTTTCAGCCACGACGCAAGCAGCCATCCTCAGGTGAAGACCAGGTCTATCGGGGAGACAGCTATTGTTATCCTCGCCCCCGACATAGGAATGTGGAATTTACACCACTGGCTCAGGATGGCTGTGAACAGGATGAGCACCAATGCCCCAATGGCTCCTTCGAACAGGACATTTGTTTGTGTTTTACTATCAGCACTGGGAAGACAAAGGCGGCCGGGCGTGGGGTTAATTGATACGCGTAAACACAGCTTGCCACAACGGAGGCGGGGGGGTGGGGGGTGGAGGGGGTCATGGTCTCTGTCCGCACGAGTGAATGTTGCAATGGACTATTTCGTCGAAAAATAAATCGCTCGCCAAATTTTATGAACAGAACGGCCATGAGATCTGTCGGCTGGGCGCACGCTCAGGACAATCTCGGTGTAGTTCCTTGTGATGAGAGAGCGAAGCGAACAGTTGGAGCGATGAGCGAGAGGGTGAGAGAGTGAGCGAGTGATTGAGCGAGCGTGGGGGAGATTGAAGGTAGCTGTATGACCCCCCCCCCCCCTGCCCGCCCCGCCACTGGGATTCCGGACACAGGGACTCATCCTGACGGCAATTCGTCTCCGGATTAACACATTTCCATCCTGCACAGCTCACACACTCACTCGTGTGTTCACTCACTCATTCACTCGCTCACTCGCTCGCTCACTCACTCACTCGTGTGCTCGCTCACTCACTCACTCGTGTGCTCACTCACTCACTCGCTCACTCACTCACTCACTTGCTCACTCACTCACTCACTCGCTCACTCATTCACTCGTGTGCTCGCTCACTCACTCACTCGCTCACTCACTCACTCACTCACTCGCGTGCTCGCTCACTCACTCACTCACTCGTGTGCTCACTCACTCACTTACTCGTGTGCTCACTCACTCACTCGCTCACTCATTCACTCGTGTGCTCACTCACTCACTCGCTCGCTCACTCACTCACTCACTCGTGTGCTCACTCACTCGCTCACTCACTCACTCACTCGTGTGCTCACTCACTCACTCGTGTGCTCACTCACTCACTCGTGTGCTCACTCACTCACTCGTGTGCTCACTCACTCACTCGTGTGCTCGCTCACTCACTCACTCGCTCGCTCACTTACTCACTCACTCGTGTGCTCACTCACTCACTCGCTCGCTCACTCACTCACTCACTCGCGTGCTCGCTCACTCACTCACTCACTCGTGTGCTCACTCACTCACTTACTCGTGTGCTCACTCACTCACTCGCTCACTCATTCACTCGTGTGCTCACTCACTCACTCGCTCGCTCACTCACTCACTCACTCGTGTGCTCACTCACTCGCTCACTCACTCACTCACTCGTGTGCTCACTCACTCACTCGTGTGCTCACTCACTCACTCGTGTGCTCACTCACTCACTCGTGTGCTCACTCACTCACTCGTGTGCTCGCTCACTCACTCACTCGCTCGCTCACTTACTCACTCACTCGTGTGCTCACTCACTCACTCGCTCGCTCACTCACTCGCTCGCTCACTCACTCGCTCACTCACTCGGATGCTCACTTGCTCACTCGCTCACTCAATCGTGTACTCACTCACTCGTGTGCTCGCTCACTCACTCGCTCACTCACTCGGATGCTCACTTGCTCACTCGCTCACTCGTGTGCTCGCTCACTCACTCACTCATCTGCTCACTCACTCACTCATCTGCTCACTCACTCACTCATGTGCTCGCTCACTCACTCGCTCACTCACTCGGATGCTCACTTGCTCACTTGCCACATCGCTTGCACACTCGCTCCCCTGTTCGCTTATATGCAATGACCAAATGACTCAGTCCCACACTCACCCTGATGGCCACTCACTTGCCCTCCCACCTCACCCACTCGCCCCGGTGACCTACTCACTAACACACATGAGGACAAAGACGAAGATCCCCCGTGTAGCCTTATCTTTGTTGATGAAAAGTGCCGTTAGCGAGCACCCATTAAGGCCGGCATTACACGCGAGAGGGTGACGGTCAGAATTGTACCCGTCCGCCTTCGTCTCCCCAATGATGATGTTTACACACCGCTACACCAGGCACTAATTTCAGGCCGAGTCAACCTAGAGGGTGGCCCAGGCCCGGTTCAAATAACCATCACCGATGTTGGTGGCCGCGAGCGGGAATCGAACTCGGATCACAGCTGCACCACCACTCCCCACACAAACAAAGATGCCCCGTATAGCCTGAACAGACTGTTAGGGCAAGTGCTGTTAGCGAGTAGCACCTATGAAGGCCGGCACGGCACACGAGGGGGTGGGTGGCCAACACCACGCCCGGCCGCCTTTGTCTCCCCAGTGGCGATGTTTACACACAGCACCAGGTACTCATTTGAGGCTGAGTCGACCTAGGGGAGGCCCAGGATCGGTTCTGATAATCGTCACTGGTGTTGGCCGTGAGCAGAAATCGAACTCGGGCCGCCGGGTTCGTAGCGCAGTGCGCTAACCGCTACACCACCGCTCCCCACACACACACGCACACTCAGACACACTTAGACACACACGTCGTATGATATTTTTATGATTCACAACTGGCTTTCCGCTAAAGATAAGACGAGAAGATACACAGATGGAGATAAATGCCGCCTCCTCGCGTCTGGAGTGATGCGGAGATGTTCGGACCGATAGAGACCGTCTGGAATCAAATAAATGATCGGTTTCATACACAGGCACTCAATCAACAACATCTGCAAACAATGCCCTTCTTCTTGGTTCTTTCGGTAAAGTCACGTAGAAAGAACCAAGAAGATGAATCCCTGCAGTCACGAAAGCTTTAAATCGAAATGCCCACTACGTATGTACAACCCACTATAGATGCAACTGTACACACTACATATATAAAATGGCCAATTTAAAAAGTACGTTCAATATGCAATGAGACCATTCAATGTAATGCACACTGTATATAATACCCACTATAAGTTTATGTATCTCTGTTGAACTTCTTTTGTACCGTACATAACCAAATGTGCTAATCGGAGGTGTGTCCAACCTCATCAGTGTTTGTAAGCTAAGCAGGCTTTCGGCCTGGGTAGTGGACTTCACAACCATTATTGGCTCAGGGATATGCATTGTATTGTAATCATGACTACGCTTATTTATCCAAAAAAATCCCCGACTGATATTCTTGGTTCTTTCGGTAAAGTCACATAGAAGGGAAATAATAAAATGATAAAAATAAAACAATATTCTCACGACGTTTTGATTGCAACACAAGCAATCATCATCTTGCTGTGGTGTTTTTCACACCTCATGATGATTGCTTGTGTTCCAATCGAAACGTCGTGAGAATTTTATTGTTTTATTTTTATCATTTTATTATTTCCCTTCTACGTGACTTTACCGAAAAAACCAAGAATATGAATCCCTGCAGTCACGAAAGCTTCAAATCGAAATTTAAAATCCCGACTGAGTTTCACGACTCCTCTTTCAGGAGGGCCTTGCCAAGTTTCCGCTGGAATAGGGGCTCAATCTTCTCCTCTTCTTTCCTTGCTGATGTAGATGCAGAGCATCAACTACAATCTCACATTCGGGTGCTCAGGCCAGATAATCGTGCCAGGAGCAGTGGAATTGTATCACTCCTTCGTATTTAAATTTCGATTTAAAGCTTTCGTGACTGCAGGGATTCATCTTCTTGGTTCTTTCGGTAAAGTCACGTAGAAGGGAAATAATAAAATAATAAAAATCAAACATAATAAAATAATTCTCACGACGCTTCGGCCACAACGCAGTGACTGCTTGCGTTGTGGCCGAAACGTCGTGAGAATTATTTTATTATGTTTTATTTTTATTATTTTATTATTTCCCTTCTACGTGACTTTACCGAAAGAACCAAGAAGATCCTTCGTATTTGTGTATCGGGCATTGCATCGTCCTACGCAGTACGGTCTGTTCTGGATGACCAGAGTCAAACAACGGAGAGTTTTTAAATTTCGATTTGTGCATAGAGGTATCAGCATCTGCCGTATGGAGTGATGATTGCTGCTGCTGCTGCTGCGGCGGCGTGTGTGCGAGCGTGTCATCCCAAGAGAGCAACACGTGCGGTTTCATTTTTCAAAATCTGGAAAAATTAAACCGTGGGCCGGCACACGATGACCATCCGCTGTTGTTGAAAAGCGACCGCCTCCAACTAACCCAGCAGCGTCCCTTGACGAGCATCCTACAATTTTACGGTAAACAAACAAAGATCCCCGGTATAGCCTGAGCAGACTGTAGGGGCGAGCAGACTGTAGGGGCAAGTGCTGTTAGCGAGCACCTACGAAGGGTGGACAAAGACAAAGATCCCCCACATAGCCTTAACAGACTGTAGGGGCAAATGCTGTTAGCGAGCACCTACGAAGGCTGGCACGGCACTTCGAGGGGGTGGGTGGCCAAGACCACGCCCGGCCGCCTTTGTCCCCCTAGTAGCGATGTTTAAACACTGCAGCAGGTACACATTTGAGGCTGAGTCGACCTAGGGGAGGCCCAGGACCGGTTCAGATAATCGTCACTGGTGTTGGCCGTGAGCGGGAATCGAACTCGGGCCGCGATGTTCGTAGCGCAGCGTAGCGCTAACCGCTACACTACCGCTCCCCACAGTAAACACACACACACACCCAGCACAGTATTAACCAGGGCGGGCGGGCGGATTCCAACAGCAAACCGACAAAGTGACGATTGCGCCACCGCTGGGCCACGTCAGCTCGGCACCGACGCGCCGGTGGGGGGCAACACCCCCCCATCGTCTCCACCCTTCGTCATTCGCACCACCACCACCACCACACACACATCCCAACATTAACAACAACAACCACCACACACACACACATCCCAACATTAACCACAACAACAACCACCACCTCGCACGAACCATCCCAACAATAACAACAACAACAACACACCACTAGCACCACCACCACGAACACTACCACCACCACCACCTCTCACACACATCCCAACAATAACCACCACCACCACCACCACACACACACATCCCAACATTAACCACAACCACCACCACCACCACACACACACACACATCCCAACATTAACCACAACCACCACCACCACACACACATCCCAACATCAACAACAACAACCACCACCACCACCTCCCGCATGCCCCGGTCACCCACCTCCTCCGTGCGCCGAAAGCGACGTCGCCACAGACAGCGACGACGACGACGACGGTGACGATGATGAAGATCGTGACGACGACGAGTTGTTGCTGTCTCGCTGTTCGTCGCTGTCCCCCTCCGGGGGGGTGCTGAAGCGCAGGCCGGGGCTGGGCTCGCTGGCCGCCCCCCCGCGGCCCAGCGCCTGCACGGCCACCACGTAGTCACTGGCGCCCTCGAGGCCCCACAGGAGGCACGAGCGCGCAGTCGTGTTCACCTCGGTGATGAAGCGCTGGCGCGCACCCGGGCGCTTCTGTGGGTCACGCGCGGTGAGACGGTGACACGGTGACACGGTGACATGGTGAGACAGTGACATGGCAAGGTGACACGGTGAGACGAAGTGACAGGGCGAGAGCCATGTGCAGGATGAAAAGCTGGCGCGCACCCGGGCGCTTCTGTGGGTCACGCGCGGTGAGACGGTGACACGGTGACACGGTGACATGGTGAGACAGTGACATGGCAAGGTGACACGGTGAGACAGTGACATGGCAAGGTGACACGGTGAGACAGTGACATGGCAAGGTGACACTGTGAGACAGTGACACGGTGACACGTGATACGGTGACACGGTGACATGGCAAGGTGACACGGTGACACGGTGAGACAGTGACATGGCAAGGTGACACGGTGAGACAGTGACATGGCAAGGTGACACGGTGACACGGTGAGACAGTGACATGGCAAGGTGAAACGGTGAGACAGTGACATGGCAAGGTGACACGGTGACATGGTGACACGGCACAGTGACACGGCGATTCGGTGACACAGTGACACGGTGAGACAAAGCGCTGGCACACACCCGGGCTGCTTCTGTGGATCACTCTTTGACACGGCCACACGGTGGCACAGTGACATAGCACAGTGACATGGCACAGTGGCACAGTGACACGGTGACACAGTGAGACAGTGACATGGCAAGTTGACACGGTGACACAGTGAGAAAGTGACGTGGCAAGGTGACACGGTGACACAGTGACATGGCAAGGTGACACGGTGACATGGTGACACAGTGACATAGCAAGGTGACACGGTGAGACAGTGACATGGCACAGTGACACGGTGACACAGTGACACAGACAGCGAGACATGTGAGCCGTGACCCGGGGACACACACAGCGCGCATCGTAGTCGGGGCCGACGTCGCGGCTGCTGCTGCTGCTGCTGCCGCCGCCGTGTGTGTGTGTGTGACCCGAAACGAACAATTCGCAGGCACTATGGGGACCTCATTTGCCAGTAAAAATATGATAATTGGTTCTTTACCCTTCTATCTGGCAACAAAACTGACACCTTTTTGCAAGGAGTCATGTTTGCATAGACCGCAATACCTGCAGTCATAAATACAAACAAAAGACATAACTCTGATAATGTATGCACTGTCCTTGAAGTTGATTGGTCCACACCCGAGACAGCTTTCCTTCGAGCCTACCCATATGAGACTAGGCTCGAAGGAAAGCTGTCTCGGGTGTGGACCAATCAACTTCAAGGACAGTGCACATTATCAGAGTTATGTCTTTTGTTTGTATTTATGACTGCAGGTATTGCGGTCTATGCAAACATGACTCCTTGCAAAAAGGTGTCAGTTTTGTTGCCAGATAGAAGGGTAAAGAACCAATTATCAATTCGCAGGCAATTTTTATTTCCCTTCAAAACACGTGGGCCCCTGACGCCTGCACACAAATGGGCCTCCTCTTTGCGAATCACGTCACGGGATCTTTGCCGTGCACCGTGAGCGAAGCAGAGCGCACGCAAGAGTCGCATTTTCACGATTGATGCACGCGCGCTATTAAATCGGGGCGGCCCACTGGATTCGAACTGTAACCCCCCACGACCGCTGGTCCGCATTACCACCCTAGTGTAACGAGAACGTCAACAAATTGTAACGCTGCGGGACCACAGCCGAGGAGCGGTGGAGGCGGCAGAGCCAAATCCCGCCTCTCCACAAAGCTCTGTGATCCCCTACATATGAAGGTGTTACGACTGAGTGTTTACGTGTGGGAAGAAACGAGCAAGGGGGCAACACGCGATCCCGTGCAGACGGAACAGGCGGAGTCCACGGTTTCTGCTGTACCGCCCCCGCCCTCGAATCGGAGTGCTTCACAACAACATTGGCGCGTGTGTGTGTGTGGTGTGTGTGTGTGTGGTGTGTGTGTGGTGTGTGTGTGTGTGGGGTGTGTGTGTGGGGTGTGTGTGGGGTGTGTGTGTGGTGTGTGTGTGTGGTGTGTGTGTGGTGTGTGTGTTGGTGTGTGTGGTGTGTGTGTGTGGTGTGTGTGTGTGTGTGTGTGTGTGTGTGGTGTGTGTGTGTGGTGTGTGTGTGTGGTGTGTGTGTGTGTGTGTGTGTGTGTGTGTGTGTGTGTGTGGTGTGTGTGTGGTGTGTGTGTGTGTGGTGTGTGTGTGTGTGTGTGTGTGGTGTGTGTGTGTGGTGTGTGTGGTGTGTGTGTGTGTGTGTGTGTGGTGTGTGTGGTGTGTGTGGTGTGTGTGTGGTGTGTGTGTGGTGTGTGTGTGGGGTGTGTGTGTGTGTGGTGTGTGTGTGTGTGGTGTGTGTGTGTGGTGTGTGTGTGTGTGGTGTGTGTGTGTGGTGTGTGTGTGTGGTGTGTGTGTGTGGGGTGTGTGTGTGGGGTGTGTGTGGGGTGTGTGTGTGGTGTGTGTGTGTGGTGTGTGTGTGGTGTGTGTGTGGTGTGTGTGTGTGGTGTGTGTGTGTGGTGTGTGTGTGTGTGTGTGTGGTGTGTGTGTGTGTGGTGTGTGTGTGGTGTGTGTGTGTGTGTGTGTGTGTGTGTGTGTGTGTGTGTGTGTGGGGTGTGTGTGGTGTGTGTTTGGTGTGTGTGTGTGTGTGGTGTGTGTGGTGTGTGTGTGTGGTGTGTGTGTGTGGGGTGTGTGTGCGTGTGTGTGTGTGTGGTGTGTGTGTGGTGTGTGTGTGTGTGTGTGTGTGGTGTGTGTGTGTGTGGTGTGTGTGCGTGTGTGTGTGTGTGTGGTGGGTGTGTAGTGTGTGTGTGGTGTGTGTGTGTGGTGTGTGTGGTGTGTGTGTGGTGTGTGTGTGGTGTGTGTATGTGTGGTGTGTGTGTGTGGTGTGTGTGTGCGTGTGTGTGTGTGTGGGGAGCGGTAGTGTAGCAGTCGGCACGCTGCGCTAACCGGTCCTCGGGCTCCCCTACGTCGACTCAGCATCAAATGAGCACCTGGCGCGGTGTGTAAACATCGCCACTGCCAGTACGCAGTGCCGGTCACCCGCCCCCCTTCGTGTGCCGTGCCGGCCTTCATAGGTGCTCGCTAGCAGCACTTGCCCCGGCAGTCTGTTGAGGCTATACGGAGGGATCTTTGTCTTTGTCTTTGCGTGCATGATCCACCAATCCCCGCTCCGTGAACCCGCTGGCGACGTGACGATGCCCACCTGCTGCGAGATGGCGTAACCGATGACGGAGTCTCCGTCCGCGACGTCCCAGGACACGATCACGGAGGAGGCACGCACGGCGCTCACCGACACGTTCACCGGCGGTGGGGGCCGGTCTGGGCGGAGAGGGGGGAGATGGGGAGAGCACAGGGACGTGGAGTGCGGTTTGTTGCTGGCCGCTTGACGTTGTGTGGACCATGGGAACCTGTGTAAAACAATTACGTTCTCGGATTTTGGATGGACATCGAACAAAGCGTCAATTTCAGATAGACGGCCGTCTGGAACGTTCTCTTCCTTCAGTTCACCCCGTTAAATCGCTCTTCTAGCGCTGCCGTGTTCCAGTGATTATCACTCGTTGATTCCTCTACGCGTTGTCGAGCACTCGGTCTGTACGGGACACCGTTTGGTCAACCGCCGCACTGCAGGTCACAACAATTAACTTCGCCAAACTCACTCACTCGCTCACCCACCCACTCGCCCACTCACTCACCCACCCACCCACCCACTCACCCACTACCACTCACTCATTCACACCTACCCACCCACCCACTCACTCACACCACTCACCTCACTCACTCACCCACTCACCTCACCACCCACTCACGTCACTCACCTCACCCACTCACATCACCCCACTCACTCACTCACCCACCCCTCACCCACCTCACTCCACACCACTCACTCACTCACTCATCCACCCACTTCACTCACTCACCCAACTCACCTGCACTCACTCACAACCACCCACCCACCACTCACCACCACTCACTCATCCACCCACCGCACTCCTCACTCACTCCACTCACCCACCCCACCACTCAACTCACCACTCACATCACATCACCCACCACATCACGTCACCATCCCACTCACCCACCACCCACCCACTCACCACCACTCACTCACTCACCCACCCACTCACTCACTCACCCACCCACCCACTCACTCACTCACTCACCCACCCACCCACTCACCCACTCACTCACTCACCCACTCATCCACTCACTCATTCACCCACCCACCGACTCACCCACTCACTCACCCACCCACTCACCCACTCACTCACTCACCCAGCCACTCACCCACCCACTAAAAACGTTGTAATTGTTAATTCTTTAAATTAATATTGTATATATCATTATACTGGTAGAAACCTCCTGGCTACACCAGCCCACAGGGGATTATTGTGTCCGTCCGTCGTGCAGGGAGGGGCTTGGGTGGGGAGGGGCTGGGTGGGGAGGGTGGGGCTGGGTGGGGGGTGGGGAGGGTGGGGAGGGGTGGAATGTGCTTATTCATATAAAATGTACTTCTTCCTTTACAAATCCCTGAACGAATTTCGACAACAAAACTAGAATCGGATGAATATGCATAGATTACAAACCTGTAATCTTAAACAAAAACGTCCTAAATTCACTTCAAGAGAATGCGTGCGTCGTGCATCAATGTGCAATGGTAGTCAGCTTGAAAGTTTGTTAAAGTGGATTAAACAACCCGACGTGATTTCAGACATCCAGAAAAATCGGAAGTGAAATTCCAGAGTCCAGGATCAGAATATTTATTGAGACCGGAGGAGAAATCCGATGAGCTATGAAGCTCCATTTCACGGATGTCCAGTAGGAGCAAAGACCATTGAGCTCTGAATGTCTTCATATTATTATATTGTCGAGTTGTGTGTACACTGGATTGCTCTCCACTCTGCATCCGGTGTGCCAAAGTAAAAGCTACATTTGGGCCAGAGGTCGCAACCGGGTACCCGATACCCGTACCCTACCCGATACCCGGCTACCCGTACCCGACCGCGTATGGGTAGCCGTTTGCGACCCTGGTGCGGCCGGGTACGGGTAGGCCGTGAGTCACTGGTGAGTAACCGTTTGTCACTCATTTCCCAACGTCTTGTCTCTTCTCACAATTCAAGTTCCTAGAATCAACCCACCCGCGCCTGCAACGTGGCTTCATCCCAGAGGTCGCAATCAGGTACCCGATACCCGTACTGGTACGGGTACCCGTTTGCGACCCTGGTGCGGCCGGATACGGGAACGGGTAAGGAATCAAAACCCGTTTGCGACCTCTGATTTGGGCCCTATTGTTCACGTGGCGAAGCTTTCTAATTGGCTGTGTTGGGCGGTGGCGGGTTTAAGACGCGTTTATATTTACACGATCTAACCCACAAACTTTGATTATAAATATGTCTTCTTGGTTCTTTCGGTAAAGTCACGTAGAAGGGAAATAATAAAATAATAAAAATAAAACATTATAACATTCTCACGACGTTTTGATTGCAACACAAGCAATCATCATCTTGCTGTGGTTTTTTCACACCTGATGATGATTGCTTGTGTTGCGATCGAAACGTCGTGAGAATTTTATTGTTTTATTTTTTATCATTTTATTATTTCCCTTCTACGTGACTTTACCGAAAGAACCAAGAAGATGAATCCCTGCAGTCACGAAAGCTTTAAATCGAAATTTAAATATGCCTTTTTTATTCTATGGTTCGTTCGGTAAAGTCACGTAGATAGAAAAAATACAATAAAATAAGAAAAAATAACGTGAATACAAATATCACGACGCTTCGATCGCAACACAATGTCGTGATCATTTTCATTCACTTTATTTTTCATTATTTTATTGTTATTTTTCTATCTACGCGACTTTACCGAAAGAACATTGGAATATGAATCCCTGCAGTCACGAAAGTTTTAAGTCAAAATATAAGCTCCTTTGTAAGGGCGACTCGGCCGCCAGACAACATCAAAGCATTCCACACAAATGACAGATGTCTGTTAAAAAAAATACGGCAAAGTAGTAGCCCTCGTGTATAGTACGAATGGAAGAAAGAAAAACACACATTGATTCTTACAAACCTGTGATGTGATGCCTGAACCACGAGATTAAGAATCGATGTTAACAGAGGAGGGCACGTGGCTTACAGATCAGAGGGCTGAGCTTGAGCCACTGAGAGACGGGGATTTAAAGCGGGTCCTCCTCAAGTCGACTAATTTGATGGGCTCAGCATGGTCCACCAGTGACTCACTCACGCAGAGGCCCATAGACTCACGCAGAGACCCATAGACTCACGCAGAGACCCACAGACTTACGTAGAGACCCATAGACTCACAGAGACCCAGACCCATAGACTCACGCAGAGACCCACAGACTCACGCAGATAACCATAGGCTCACGCAGAGGCCCATAGACTCACGCAGAGACCCACAGACTCACGCTGAAACCCATAGGCTCACGCAGAGACCCATAGACTCATGTAGAGACCCATATGCTCACGTAGAGACCCATAGACTCACGTAGAGACCCATAGACTCACGCAGAGACCCACAGACTCACGCAGAAAACCATAGGCTCACGCAGAGACCCATAGACTCACGTAGAGACCCATAGACTCACGCAGAGACCCATAGACTCACGCAGAGACCCACAGACTCACGCAGAAAACCATAGGCTCACGCAGAGACCCATAGACTCACGCAAGACCCATAGACTCACGCAGAGACCCATAGACTCACGCAGAGACCCATAGGCTCATACAAAGACCCATAGACTCACACAGAGACCCACAGACTCACGCAGAGACCCATAGGCTCACATAGAGACCCATAGACTCACGTAGAGACCCATAGACTCACGTAAAGACCCATATACTCACGTAGAGACCCATAGGCTCATGCAGAGAGCCATAGGCTCATGCACAGACCCATAGACTCACACAGAGACCCATAGACTCACACAGAGTCCTATAAACACACACATAGACTCATAGACTCACACAGAGACCCATAAGCTCACGCAGAGACCCATAGACTCATACAAAAACCCATAGACTCACACAGAGACCCACAGACTCACGCAGAGACCCATAAACTCACACAGAGACCCATAGACTCACACAGAGTCCCATAAACTCACACAGAGACTCATAAACTCACACAGAGACCCACAGACTCATGCACAGACCCATAGACTCACACAGAAACCCATAGACTCACACAAAGTCCCATAAACTCACACAGAGACTCATAGACTCACACAGAGACCCACAGACTCACACAGAGACCCATAGGCTCACGCAGAGACCCATAGACTCATACAAAGACCCATAGGCTCACACAGAGACCCATAGACTCACGCAGAGACCCATAAACTTACGCAGAGACCCATAGGCTCACACAGAGACCCGTAGACTCACACAGAGACCCATAGACTCACACATAGACCCATAGGCTCACACAGAGACCCGTAGACTCACACAGAGACCCATAGACTCACACATAGACCCATAGACTCACACAGAGACCCACAGACTCACACAAAGTCCCATAAACTCACACAGAGACTCATAGACTCACACAGAGACCCACAGACTCACACAGAGACCCATAGGCTCACGCAGAGACCCATAGACTCATACAAAGACCCATAGGCTCACGCAGAGACCCATAAACTTACGCAGAGACCCATAGGCTCACACAGAGACCCGTAGACTCACACAGAGACCCATAGACTCACACATAGACCCATAGACTCACACAGAGACCCACAGACTCACGCAGAGACCCACAGACTCACGCAGAGACCCATAGACTCATACAAAGACCCATAGGCTCACGCAGAGACCCATAGACTCACGCAGAGACCCATAAACTTACGCAGAGACCCATAGGCTCACACAGAGACCCGTAGACTCACACAGAGACCCATAGACTCACACATAGACCCATAGACTCACACAGAGACCCACAGACTCACGCAGAGACCCACAGACTCACGCAGAGACCCATAGACTCACACAGAGACCCACAGACTCACGCAGAGACCCATAAACTCACGCAGAGACCCACAGACTCACACAGAGACCCCGAGACTCACGCAGAGACCCCGAGACTCACGCAGAGACCCCGAGACTCACATAGAGACCCATAGACTCACACAGAGACCCATAGACTCACGCAAGACCCATAGGCTCACGCAGAGAGCCATAGGCTCACGCAAAGACCCATAGACTCACGCAGAGACCCATAGACTCACGCAGAGACCCATAGACTTACACAGAGACCCATAGACTCACGCAAGACCCATAGGCTCACGCAGAGACCCATAGGCT